AACCTCCTGTTTCCAGTACCTGATTGTTGCAGGTGCAAGCTTGAACATCATTGCTGCCAGTGGGGGCTCTGACCTAATCTATTTTCAAAACCAGCCTGAGTTCAAACCCAAAACCCCAGTAGTGCATCCTGAATATCTGGCAGTGCTCCGGAGCCGGGCAGGTAAACTGCTGTATTTGAATGGCACTGGCCAGGATTAAACCTGGCCTGCATGTCTCCAAAACTGCCAGTTTTCTCTCTTTTTTTTTCCTAAAACCCAAACAAAGCTGACTGTGCCAGTTGGAATCAAAACCGGCTATCATGGTGTAGTCTAGGCTCCTGCTGTTCAGGCCTCTGGCCCCTTCAGAGAACCATAAGCCTTGAGGTCCCTGTACTCTGACATATCCAATGAAGATGGAGAGTCAATAATGGTATAAGGCTGTGAATGATTAGATCAGAATTTTGCTTTCAGATAATTAATCTGGAAATATAGTCCAAGATGGATTTGGGGTTGAGGAAGGCTAGCACTAGGAAGATCAGCTAGAAGGCTATTGTAGCCATCCAGGTAAGAGATAGGACAGCGGGGATGGAAAGGTAGGACTAGTGTAAGAAGTTACTACAGAAATGAATTGTTATGATCATTCAGATCCAGAGGCTACAAGGAAATGAGTGAGAGGAAATTGAGTGAGAGGAAATTTGTCCAGTTAATAATCAGAAGCCTAAGAACCGATCCATCAGGTGAAGTTGTAAGACATGGTACCCATTTCATTTTATGTTCTTCCTCCCAGGTAAACTGCCACTCCTAAAAATTATAGTAACGCCTCAGATCTCTTCAGACACCTTCAGATCTATATGGAAACACAGCAAGAAAGCAAGTGTTACCTGTAAGAAGAAGAAGGTAGGCTCCTGAATATCTGGTGGTGAGTACCAGCTCCCAGGGGCGCTGTGTGAAGCTTGGCCACTAAGCTGGAAGCCAGAGCCCTCAGCAGTAGACTTCACGCTTGATAAGGTCATGAGTTTTTGGTTCTAAGGTGACATTTCCTTAAACCATTATTCTGTTCTGATGGATGATGGTTGTACCGAAGGGCAATAGTAAGACAACAACAATGTGTGTTTACTCTCTGTTATAATGTGGAGTGAGCTTCCCTTTTTCTTTGTTAATTTATGGTTTCTTGTTCATTATTTCACAGGCTAAAAACTGAATGTGGATACCGTAGTTCCACGTGGATGCTACTATTTCTATGGTGAACCAGATATGCCTAGAAAGATATTGATTATTCTCTAACAGTTTTTACTATAACCAAACCGCTTTCAAGTTCTAAAATTTGATAAGACTGTTTTTGAAAATTCCAAGTGGTGTTCACCCTTATTTTCTAAAATGCAAGTTTTGCAAGCAGGTCTTAGTAAAAGCAGATGGAATTGTCAGTTCTCTTGTGCATGTGGTATTTAGAATTTGAAGGAAGACTGCAGTCTTTATTTAAGAAAGAATCTTTATATATCTATGGTTGGGAATAGGATGTTTCAAAATAATAACCAGTTTCACTGATTCCCAAGTAAGGAAGCTTCTAATTCCTCTTGCTCCATCCTCTCGCCCCCTCTCCCCATTGGATGTCCATGGGAAAATGAAGAGATGTGGTTGGTTGATGTATGGATGATACACTGAACTGGTTGAATTTTATATGTTATGACAATATGATGCAGGGCTAAAAAGTATAAACTGGGAAATTAAATGAATCAGAATTTTCCATGGAAAACCTATTTTCCAGATGTATGATTTTGGACCAGTCAATTAACCTCATTATGCCTCAATTTCTCCTTAGGTAAGATACAGATAAGAATAGGACCTATCTCATTTCATGAGACAATGCCTATCAAGCATTTTAGATCCATGTCTGTTTCATAGTATGTGCTCAAAATAATTTTGGTGGCTCTTAGTTATACTACTATTATTGATGTTAGACTTGATTCTAATGATTCCAGTTAGGACAGCCACACAAGATAAATAAAAACAAAACAAGATTTATTATTTCTTCATTTTGAAGTTTAATTAAAAAGAAAACTGTCATTCACTCTATACTTAAATATGCAGACAAGCTAATGGAAACAAGCTAATTGTAGTGACAGAAATGGATATAGTCAATTATGTTCACTCTTAAGGATTTTAGCATGGATAACTAAGAAGACAAGATCCTTGTACTTTAAAAGTAAACAATAGGGGCTCTCCCTGGTGTCGCAACAAGTTAAAGCACCACATTATGAACCTCTCCGAAACCATGGCAGCACAATTTCGATCCCCAGCCAGGGATCTGACCCACATGGTGTGGCAGGCCTCTCCTGACCCCCGCCTGCTCCCACAGCAGTGTATTTCAGTAGATCTGCCTGTTCTGCTCCCCACTCTGTTTCTGGTGAATCCTCTCACCCACCACACCTCTGGCCTGTTCCCAGTTCTGTATGCATAAATAAACAAATCTTAAAAAAAAAAAGTAAACAGTAGACCATAGAAGTTGAAATATTGTAAGTCATGTGGCTGGGTAGTGAAGTTTACGCAAGCAAGATTAATTTAACAAATCGCCACATAATATATGAGGACTCTTGAGAAACTGTTCCTGATTGTTTTTTAAATAAACTTTATTGAGATTTACCACTAACATTTACTGGGTGGAAGTATGAAATTTGTGTGCCTCTTTAGGGATCTTTTGGCAACATCTACCAAAATATATAGTTTTTGACCCATTCAGTCTTATTTAATAATAGCTATCACTGCTGTAATTGCTCTTCTCCACATTTCCTCTCTTCACTCACTTTCTGGATCAGAGGAACTCCCTGCAGTTCAAACACCTGCTCTTCCATAAGGTTTCCTTCATGGTAATATCTGTCCCTTAGTGCATTTAATACAGCATGCAACACACAGCACATATTAGCATGTGGCCAAATGGGACCCTGTTTATTTTTGCACTTCTGTGTGCATCCTTGTCTCCTCTTAGACTGCTTAAGTCTTCATGAGGAGAGGCCCAGCCCAGCAAGAGATGGGAGACTCAATCCCAAACCAGACAGTGGTCCTCCACCACTAGGTGATGATGGAAATCAGACATCTTTTTTTACTTTTTTAAGATTTGTTTATTTATGCATTCAAGAGGTGGGGTGTAGGCCAGAGGTGCCGAGAGGTCAGCTGAGACATGTGAGTCAGCTGGCCAAGGATCGAACTCTGCTGCAGTGGCTGCCTACAGCTTCATAGTGCCAAAACTCAAATCCCTGTGCCACCAGGGAGGCCCCTGAAAATCAGACATCTTAAGGCTCCTAATGCCTCAGCTTTCTTATCTTTTAAATGGAGACATTGTCTGGCTTTGCTTCAGAAAACATAAAAATATGACTCTGGGCTAGCAATGAAGGAAACATGGTTTCAAAATAGTTTTAAAACTGGTTCCAAGAGCACTGTACTCTTTAAATTTACTCACTTCTCTGGACCTCATTATTCCTATTAAAAAGGAGGTTAAACTAAAATAAGAGGTTTTCAATGTGGTCAGAGAGTGCCTGGGGTCCTTTCAGGGAACCAAGAAGGTCAAAACTGTTTGCACAAAAACATTCAAAGCTATAGCACTCTTTTCATTCGCTGACTGTACAGTTTTTTCCAGAAAGCACATAGCGTGTGATGTCATTGTTCTAAGGAGAACGTGTAATGGATTTATTACTTTTATAATTATTTGTAAATAAATGAATATTTAAAATTTTTCCTGTTTAAATTTATTAAAAAGTGTATATAGGTGGGCTTTCCCTGGTGGTGCAGCGGGTTGCAGCGCTGCACTGCGAAGCTATGCCAAACAGTGGCTGCTTCAGTGCAAGTTCAATCCCCTCCTCGGGAGGTGATCCACGTGGTGCACAGCAGACCTCTTCTGGCCCACCCACTGCTCCCCTCGGCAGTGTATCTTGTCGACCTGGCTGTTCTGCTCCCCACTCTGTTTCTAGGGAATCCTCTCACCACCGCACCTCTGGCCTGTGTCCCATTTCTGCATGACTAAATATATTTTTTTAAAGTGTAGAGAGACAAGAGGAAGAAAGCACAAATGACACAGATAGCATAGTATCTCTCCCTCTCTCTGTCCTATATAAGTTCTTTAAGGTGCTAGTAATTTTTAAGTGTAAAGAAGTCCAGAGACTTGTGGGGTCCTGGAGGCTGCTGAGAGACCCTGGAGGTTCTTGACTTACAGCAGGAAAGATTTTGCTAGGAAGGTAGAGGAAGTGGATATATGTGAGAGTATACAATTAAGAGTATGGCAGATTCAAGCATCTTGCCCTGAGTCTTGTGTCTGCTTACAGAAATACTTGCTTCGTTTGAGGCGGCAGGGGGTTGCAGACAAAACCCACTGGGCCATAATATTCCTGTTGGTTTAGTAAGACAGAAGTTTTACCATCAACAGTGCAGAGCATAAGGTCTAAACTAGTGAGACTTGGGTCATCTTGTTCTGCAAAGGGTTTTTTTGTTAGTGGATGGGGAGAGGGATTGCAGCCTCTGTGAAATTCCTGTTCTACCACTAAACCCCATTTCTAGAAGCGCACCCATCATTCATTCAGTCACCAAGTAAGTGTGTCTCCTATGCCCAGGCTTTTTTTTTTTTTTTTTAAGCTACGAGGATAAGGTGGTGATAGAAGTATGGTGACTGTTCGGATGGCATATGCCCATTGGGAACGACATAATAATATTAACTAATTCCTGAGAGCCTTAGGTTTCATGAAGGCGTAACGCAGGACACGTGGCTCCAGCGCAGTCGGGGCGCCGGCTCTCACGAGCGGAACATTGGGCAGCGCAACCGCCAGACCTCAGCGGGACTCGCCCCCGGCCCTCCGCCCCGCAGCAGCCCCAGCGCACTGTCCGAGAGCTGCGGAAAGGGGGAAATAACGTCCGGGCGCTGGCGTGGATGACGTCACTGGACCGCGCCAGCGAATCGCGGACCGCCCCTGTCGTAGGCTGCGCGGTGACCCACAGCCTGCAGGCGGCGCTGTGGCCCGTGGGGCGGCCCGGAGAGCCGCCATCGCCGCCCGCCTCCCCCAGCCCAACGTCTCCGCCGCCGGCTCCGCGCCGCCGCCATGGCCGACGTGGAAGACAGCGAGGAGTCCTGCGCCCTGTCCTCTCACTCCGGGAGCGCAGGCTCCAAGTCGGGAGGTGACAAAATGTTCTCTCTCAAGAAGTGGAACGCGGTGGCCATGTGGAGCTGGGACGTGGAGTGCGATACGTGCGCCATCTGCAGGGTCCAGGTGATGGGTAAGCGCTGCACGCAGGCCCGGGCCCCACTGCGGCCTCCGCGGGGCCGGCTCCGGGAAGGGGACGGGCGAAGGATCGGCGTGACCCCTCGGCCCGGGGGAGTTGGGGGCGGGGTTCGCCCCGCTCGGGAGCGGGAGGACGGGGGCCACGCCCGAGTTGCGGGTGGGAGGACGGCGGCCGCCGCTGTGACCGCGGGATCGTTCAACAGGCGCCCGGCTGTGGAGCTGGGACGTTAGGGAGGGAAACGGCGGTAGGCGGAGGGACTGGTTTAAGGTCATTTAAGGCAGTGATGGGTATGACAAGAAAATGAAACTGGTGGCTTGATGAGTGTGGAGAGGAGCCACTTAGGTTCGTGCGGCCAGCCCCAGCCCCATCCATCTCCGGAGGCGTCAGCGTCGAGGCCCTGCTTAGCAGGACACTTGCTGCTGCGGTCACCAAAGTGGTGCTCTGGAGTCTTGTTCCACAAAACAAAACAAAACAAAACAAAACACAGTTATGCCCTCTAGAGACACAGGAAAGGGAAGTGTCCTGAGTCACTGCCTTTCTGTATCCGTTACTGCGCTTCTGCTCGCCTTTAAACCTGGGTGACGCCAGACCGGTGGGCCGTGTGATTCCAGAATAGCTAAGGATGGTGGGGATTGAAGAATGTCAGCCTTTATTCGATAACGGGAACCTTCTCTGTCCTGCCCTACCTCCCCATCACTGGATGCCATTTCCTGGAGAAGATAAGGAGCCTGCCCTGCTCTGAGCCCCGGGCCTTTGTGGTTTTACAAATGTCTTACTTTTTTCTGTGATATATTGAGTTTGAATGCTTGGTTTCTGTCTTAACATTATAGATCATCTTGAAAATGAGGTGCTGTTTAAATAATGCAATGCATTTTTTTTTAAAGATTTACTTATCTATGCTTACAGAACTGGGGTGCAGGGGCTGTGAGAGGCTTCACCAGAGAGAGTGGGGAGCAGAACAGGCTGACTGATGAAGTGCACTGCTGAGGGGAGCAGCGGGTAGGTCAGGAGAGGTCTGCCCTGCCACATGGGTCAGCTCCCTGCCCTGGGCAAGGCATATTTCTAAAGGGCATTTAAAACTACTGTCAGTGCATCTTACATCTTCAGAGTGGGTAAAGGAAAATAAGATTTCTGTCATTTGAAAACGTTCTAGTTTCAAGCTATAAGGGAATTGTTCTTGCTTGAGGAATGGAACTTTGAGCCTACAAAAGAGATTTCTCTACTTCGTCTTTCAGAATGTTATCTTTTGGTATATATTTTTATTTTTGAAAGAATTTGATTTCAGGCTATATCCTTTTATTTGCACATTAGATTTTGAAAGTGTATCTAAGTAAGCAGTATAGCCCCTTTCCTCAGCCCTTAAGAACTAGAATCAGTTTCCACTTTGGGTGGTGTTTTTTTAATTCAGGCCAAAAAATTTTGTGTGTGTTTTGTTTTGTTGTTAGAGGATAAGCTTTACTGAAAATTTTATCCACTAAATTCCCTTTAACCCAAAAATGAGACTGTTTTCTAGGAGGCATTTCATTTCTCCCAACAAAGAAAAAAATTTAATAATAGCAACACAGAACTTGATATAGTGGTTGAGACTTTTTAACAAGTAAACTTTACTGGAATATTTAAAGTAAGTCAAAGTAAAGGCTATAAATATCACGCATTCACATTTACTTTCTAATTCTAGCCAAGAATTCTGTTACAATAGCTGTACTTTGGGTTCAGGAAAATATTCTGAACTAAAGCTTTCGAAGTGCTGAAGTCCATGGAGTGACCAGGTGACAGCAGAGCAGGGAGTTTGTTTTTCAGACTTCCCAGTTCTTAGCCCAGTATCATTCTGAACAGGAGTGCTGTTATTGTACTCCTCAAAAATGTGCTGTTTTAGATATTAGGGACATCCCCAAGAAACTTTAGTTTGAAACCTGAGGAAATTTTTATTGATTTAAGCCAGTTTTTGATAATGAATTTAAACCAAAGCTATATTGGTTTATATAATTCAGATTTTTAAATTCTACATAAAGAGCCCTCTTGATTCTATCACCTTAATAATTCTAATTTGGAATTTGTCCTACATGCCTAAATGATTTATTTTGATTTATTTATTTTTTTCTTTATTCGAACTTTGCCTGCTGGCCCATTCTGGTGTAATTAAAAGGCTTCCTGGTTTCCACTCTTTTCCGGTCATTCTGAAGGGAGCACACGGCACAGTGAGCAGGTACTGACAGGAAAGAGAGAGTAGATTTACTAGTACTGACTGCCAAGTTATAAAGAACCAGAGTAACTCTTCATTGCTCTGTGTTAACTTAGATATTTGATATAACTTTGGAGCCTTTTTTCCTGATTTGTGAATGACCGTTGGGATTACCTACTAATTATGAGAATAGGCAGAACTACAGTCATGTCTTCTGGCTCCTTATGGTATTTAACTGTTTGCTTGTCTACAGTTAAATGGTGGATGAGGAGTCAAATTTAGACATTTTGGTGTTCCCTGATATATAATTTCTTATTTTGGGCTTTCCCTGGTGGCACACGGGTTAAAGCACCACATTATGAATCTCTCCGAAGCCACCACAGCACAAGTACATCCCAGGCCAGGAGGTGATCCATGGCACCGCAGACCTCTCCTGACCCGCCCACTGCTCCCCTCAGCAGTGTATTTCAGTAGATCTGCCTGTTCTGTTCCCCACTCTGTCTCTGGTGAATCCTCTCACCCACCACACCTCTGGCCTGTACCCTGGTTCTGTATACATAAATAAATAAATCTTTAAAAAAAATTATTTTTACCCAACGAAATCTCTTCAGCCAGTGAATTAAACCTTTTTATTGGTCCCTAAAAATTTCTACATACCTTCTTCAAGCCAGCCATAGTACAGGTCAAATTTTGAAAACGTCTACTTTATTCTTTAGGTTTCCATTCCAAGTATTTACTCCTTAGTAATTTATTAAAATATGTTGCCATCGTTGGATAAATACTTTGGATTCAGACTTACATGTCAAGCAAGCATTTTTCTTAGAATAAAGAACCTACTATGTGTGTTTAAGGGGAGGTCATTAATTTTGATTTTGATATAGATTATACAATCATAGTTAAAAATTTTTTAAGGTATACAGTTAAAAACATCCTATTTCTGGTAGATATCACTGTTAGCTTCTGGCTATCCTTCTAGAGTTTCTGTTTCTATGTGTTAATATGCATGGCTTATTTAAAAGGGAGTCTTGAAAGGAAGCTACCTCTAAGATTGAGCTACGGGAATGAACTTATATAATAACTGATTATATTTTTTTCCCTGGTGATTGCCTCTACTCTTAGGACATCTTCTATCAGAGTTTGTGAAAATGGAGTGTTGGTAAACCCTTGTGAAATTGCTCCTGGTCATAAGCAAGTTAGTAGCATACCTTGTACTTTATTCATCTTTAAACAGTTATGTCAAATGAGAAATAGTATGAGTCTTTTATCTCCATCTCTAGCCCTTTGGGCTTTTATTTGACTTTGAAGCGTCTGGGTTTTAAAATTTGCTTTTTGAGCATCAGAATGAGAATTGCTATTTGTTTACTTTTAGATGCCTGTCTCAGATGTCAAGCTGAAAACAAACAAGAGGATTGTGTTGGTATGTTGTAATTTTGTTCTCTTGCTTTTTCAACTGAAGGTTTTCTCTCAGTGGGGATGTTTGAATTTGCAATTAAGATTGACTTTATCAATACACAAAAATAAACTGTAAAGCAGTGATCCATTATTAATGTAAAATGTGTTGGTTCTCAAAAACCTCTGATGGAATTTTCTTCAGGGCCTTTCATTGCCTATAATAAAGAATAGCAGTTATATACTCCAGACATGGCTATAGTAGACATTTCGATATCAACAAAGAAGTAATTCTCATCTAGTAAGAAAATTACAAAGTAAGAATTTGCCAAAGCTTTAAAATTTTTACTATGTTGATCAAGTGGTAGGATTTTATTCTCATAAAGCATTTCTGTTTTCAATACTTTTTTAAAATACAGTATTTAACTTTTCAACTTTGGTAGAAAAATTTCTAAGTCTCAAGATATTTTAGAATATAGTTTGTATATACAATTCTGTTATGTCCCTTATTATCTGGAACATTAAAAGTTGTATCAGGCTAAGCAAAGATTTGTTATGTCCTAGTTCTTGAGGTCTTCATTTCTGGGTTGCTACATAGTAGGAGTGTTTAAAAGTTTTCATAGAATGAGAGGCTGGCTTTGCACTTTGTGTTTGCATTACTTATATATGCAGCTTCATAGTAAAAGTTTTTACAGTGTTGGTCAAATCCTATTTCGTCCTCCTTACACATTTAGAATGTTTCCTCCTTGTTTCCTACCCCCACAGTCAATTTTCACAAGCTTTTTCCCCTTTGTTCCTATTTCATTTATTTGGTGGTTCTTGTTGTCATGTAATCAGTTGGTCAAGCAAAGGACAAATGAAGCCCATTTTTGAGGTTGTGTTCCAGGTTGTGAGTGACTTCCCTTAGTTTAAAACTTTTCATTCACACTGCTTTTCAAAGTAATTAATTTGATAATTGTGAGGTGCTGTAGATCAGCTTTCTTTGACACAAAGAGATCTGATTTGCCAGGCATCCACTTTTAAAACTTCATTCTGTTTGGCACATAAGTAATGATACTGCTTCTGAATGACTCAACAAAATTCATCACCACTATTACAAAACAAATAGGTATATGTATAGCTGATACTGTTTAGAGGCTTGTCATATGCTTTTAATAGCCTCCTGTGACCTGGATTTAAGACTCATTATATCTTGGTAAATAAAAACAAGGAGAACATAAAATCCAAATGGTTTTCAAGGGTCATTGTATGAGTGGGAAAGTCTGGGATCTGAGGACAACTCAAACTGTTTAATCTCTAGCTTCAGGAAGACAGTAAATGGAATTATGTGGAACTGGGGACAAGGGCACCATCCCAGGTTCCAAAACAGTGATGGAAAGTCCCTCAAGCGCAGTGCCTTCTCCCATTTCTTAATTGCAATTTGCACATTTAAGTTTCTATTTCTTTATAAGTAGAAAAAAATTAGACCAGTTAACTATATTCAGGGTAATGGATTGTGATAATTATTTCTAATAAAATAGACTATAATTTGAAGCTCAGTAATTTAAATTGAAGTATGTAATACCAAATGCTCTCTTTTTCCTTTTAGTGGTCTGGGGAGAATGTAATCATTCCTTCCATAACTGCTGCATGTCCCTGTGGGTGAAACAGAACAATCGCTGCCCACTTTGCCAGCAGGACTGGGTGGTCCAAAGAATCGGCAAATGAGAATGGTGGAAGACTTTCTTAGTGCAGTTGCTTGAAGCCCTGGTGGATCTTGTTGTCAGACTTCCTCAAAGACTAGAACACTCCAGGGGACTTAATTCTTCAGACAAAGATGAATCTGTGGTCCTTTGGACTCATCAGAGGCAAGGTTTAGTTTTTGTCGGTTTTATCTTAAGAAATTCTCTACTGTTAAGAAGATAATTTATTAAAGATGGTCTTCCCTACCTCTGTCAAGTCTTTGAAGTGCTATAAAGTAGGCGAGAACTACAAATTAAATGAACTTAATAATTTACTTATTGATAACCAATGGACTATAGAAGCAGTTCTGTTCAGAAGAGAACTTTTTGCATGCTTATGATTGGTTGATGAGTTATTAAAAAAAAGCAATTTTATAGTAGCAAATAAAGTACAGTTCAAAACACAATTCTTATTCTTTATTTTTTGGCGGGGAGGAGGATGATTCATGAAATCTTTATTTGATGAAATGATAATTTTAAGTTTGAGCAAGTAAACAGGATAAATAGAGTTTAACTTTTGGACTAATGGGATTTTGATGGTCTCTTAGGTCCTCTTTTATCTGTGAATTATGAGGAAAAATAGGTCTACATTCACCTTATTGTTTAGTCATTGAGTGGTGAAAAGTATTCTCAAATTCTACTCAGATTAGGTTGTAATTCAGCTGTGATTTAGGTGAAATGTTAACGAAGGGAAATGTTTACCACTGTAGCATTAGATCAAAAGTTTATTATAAATGGTTTAATAAATGTCTTTTCTGTTTGTTTCATTTGAACTATTGTAATTTTTATATAATATTTAATGTTAGTAAACTGGTTTGCAAGAACAGGTTTAGTATATATTGTGAAAAAATATGTATATATGTATATACCTTTCACTTAATAAAATTTAAATTTTATTATCTGGAATCATGTAAATACCAGAAAATAACTTAAATTTTATCAAACTCATTTACCCTTAGTGGAAGTTATTTTGTAACAATTTAAATTTTTTCATAATAGAGGCCACTGCTATGAATTAAAAAAATTAAATCAAAATTTTAACCATTCACTTTTGCTGTTTCAAAATTTACTAGTCAGAATCTTAAAAGTCAAAGGAATGTTGACACAGAAGAATTTTTTTTTAAGTGTAATAATAAAAATTCTGTGTTTTGCATTGATTACTATCTATCAGATTTCTCTGGATTTTTTGCTTTATATATTTTTTTCAAAATTATCAACTGTAAAATGATTTACTTATACAAATATGTTTGACAATTTGAATGTTTCTCATTGTGCAATGAAATAGTTTAGCAGCTTTTTGTTTGACCTTTTAAAAAGGTTGTATCCATAAAATGTGAACCAAGTTTCTGGCTTTGCAGTAAAGAGAAAGAGTAAGAATGTCGAGTTATTTTAGTCAGTATGATAGTATGTGAATGAAATGTGGAGGGTGGCGGTAATAAGTTAATTTCCCACACAGCAAAAGCACATGCCCACCACCTAACAAAGCTCTGTTTCTACTATACATCAGCATCTGAGGATAGAGGAGGAGGGGACCTGGGACAAAGCATCACTGAGCCTGCCCATTCTGGGGTGATTCAGCTCATCTGCATAACCTCTGAAAGTTTAGTACATACTGTTTCATCAGCAGAACACGCTGTGACATTTAATTATGAGTTCCTCTGCAAAAGCTAGGTATTGAGAAGGTTTTTCTTTCTGTTTGACTGATTTTAGATTTTATTTTACTGGTGTTTTGGAAAAGAAAGTTTGTGTTGTATTGTCAGCAGTTTAATTTTCCATCCATGCAAGTTGCATTCTTTCTGTTGTTGCTTTTGTTTTGTTCTTTATCTGCAAGCTGCATCCTTGTGACAGCTGACAACTAAGTCAGTAAACCTCACCATGTTAAATCAACTCCTTTTTATAAAAATGTTCATAATTTTCTACACTGAAGTAACAAATTCATAAATGTCTGCACACAATTAAAATGTATAATTAGAAATAAAATAATTTATTATTCATTTATGTTTCAGTATGTACATGTTTGGGCATACTTATTCCAGAAGACATAATGAAGTAGTCTGAGGCATATCTAGGGCTGTGAGATCACTCCACGTGGATGACAATGTAGACTGTTGTGACTCAGAAACACAAAGTGATTTCCATCAATGATATGTTGACCCTCAAAAATGATGAATATGCTTAGTAAAGTTCTCAGCCAAACAGTGTAGCCTTTTGATTCACATGTTACACAGTTGTAAACTTCAATGAATTTTAAAGATGTTCAAAAACTCCTATATGTAAAAAGGTTAGGTTGTAAGATAATCTAAAACATTTTTTTAGTACTTGAATGGATATTCTATCCAACATTACACAGGATACTGAATTATATTTCATCATGTAAGGCCTCCACATAGTACAAGACTAACTTCACTGGACCCACCCCAAATGCCAGTGGTGCCATCTTTGTGCTGTCTGAAGAAAGCTGGCTTTCTAAAACAACCCCTTTCCAGGCAGTATTGACATATGGGAGCAGTGATATAAATGCTTAGACAGGCAATTACCATGTATACCTTGCCACAGTTTCCCAGAAACATCTTAAAATGGTACAAACAAAATAACTTCATTAAAAGGCATACAGCGGCTCTCCCTGGTGGCGCAGTGGGTTAAAGCACTGTACTAAGAATCAAAAGCTACTTCCGCATGAGTTCGATCCCCGCCTGCCCTGGAGGAGATCCACATGGTGTGGCAGACCTCTCCTGACCCGCCCGCTGCTCCCCTCAGCAGTGTACTTCACCAGTCTGTCTGTTCTGCTCCCCACTCTGTCTCTGGTGAATCTCACCGCCCCTGCACCACTGGCCAGTACCCTAGTTCTGTATACATAAATAAATCTTTAAAAAAAAAAAAAAGGCATAAAGCAGGGTAAAGCACAGCACTAAAGCCACTCAGCATGAGTTCGATCCCTGCCCCAGAGATGACCCACATGGCCTGGCAGACCTCTCCATACCCGCCCGCTGCTGCCTTCAGCAGTGTACTTCACCAGTCTGTCTGTTCTGCTCCCCACTCTGTCTCTGGTGAATCTCACCGCCCCTGCACCACTGGCCAGTACCCTAGTTCTGTATACATAAATAAATCTTTAAGGAAAAAAAAGGTATAAAGCATTAAGAGTTTACAATAGCTGCTCTCCTAAAAAGAAAGAATCTTGCAGACCTGTGCACTCTTCTCCAGAGGGGTGAAAATTCTTCAAATAAGGTTAATTGGATTAAAAAGATGTGGTACTTATACACAATGGGATATTATTTGACCTTCAAAAAAAGATAAACTCATGCTTTTTGCAGCAACATGGATGGAGCTGGAAGGGATCATGCTTAGTGAAATAAGCCAGAAAGAAAATTCCTAGCAGGAGCATAAGGGATCAGGGGGAAAAAGAAAAGAAAAAAAAAGAGAGAAACAAATGTAATGAAGTAAAAATGGGAACAACAACTATAAACCAGAGACATGGTATGGTGTAGAAAGGGAATGGGATAAAAATTGAGGTGGGAAGAAGGCATCAGACTATGACAATGGCACACAGGGACTACAACTGAGATGGTAAATGTACAAAATGAAGAACAATGTAAAATAAAATATGAAAAAAAAATGGTTTAATGTCTAGTGTGCACACTGTTGGTGAATATTCCCTTGGCAGTCTTCCAGGCCTTTGGGTTGTTTTATTTATTTGAATCTAAAGTAGGAATCTTTAGAGTCAGGAAAAAAAAATAAGTTCCTTTATAATGTAGTAAACTACCTATAAGATAGACTAAGTTTAATAGGTAACTATTAGTGAAACACAAAGTATTATAAAAACACTTTGATGTTTAAGTTAACGTCCATGTTCTAATATGTTCTGAAGGGAAAATTAGGTGTGTTTAGTAAACTCTTATTCAAAAAAAATTTGAAGAAAAAACACTGCTGATATAAAATATTACTGATTTGAATAGAAGGAAAAGTGAAATTAAAATACAAATGTATTTTTTAAATTAAGCTATTTTATATTGAACATTTAAATAGCATGACTAAATACATGAGAAATATTTGCATCCTTTTTTGCCATTTTTATACGATTAGATGTAGTCAACAATTAGTCTTAGGAGAAAAATTTCTTGACACTTAGCTTAGTGGCTGACAGTTGAGTCTTTCCAGCCAGGACACCTAGATTTGAATCCCAGTGCCATTACTCCTCATATACATATACTCCTCAGATACCTCATATACAATGTAGCTAGTAATACCTGTCTCTCGGGCTCATTTAGAAGACTGAAGACTAAATGGAATACTGCACGTGAGACTCTGAGAAGAGTTTCTAGCACACAGTAAAGGCTACTGTTACTTCCTTTCAGTCATTTTCAGAAGTTCCTGTAATAGAAAAGTCACTTTAAAAATTATGTTTTGAGGGGGCCCTTCCTGGTGGCACAACGGGTTAGAAAGCAGCACTGCAAGCGAGCCACAGCCACCTCAGTGTGAGTTCGATCCCCGCCCACATGGAGGTGACCCACGTGGCGGCTCCACAGACCCTCCCCTCGCCCGTGCACCTCATCGATCTCCCTGTTCTGCTCCCAACTCTGTCTCCGGTGAATCCCATCTCCATCCCTGCACCTCTGTCCTGTACCCCAGTTCTGTATGCATAAATAAATAAATCTTGGGAAAATGTGTTTTTACATCAGTTCAAAGGACACCTGCACCCCCATATTTATTGCAGCAAAATTCACAATAGGTAAGCTGTGGAAGCAATTCAGATGCCCCAAAATAGATGACTGGATCAAGATGTGATATAGTTACACAATGAAATATTACAATCAAAAAGGATAAGTTCATGCCCTTCACAGCAACATGGGTAGAGATCATGCTCAGTGAAATAAGCCAGAAAGAAAAAGAAAAATATCAAGTGTTCTCACTTATAGGAGGAATGTAGAGAACACAGATAAGGAATCAGAAAAAAAAAAAAAAAGAGTAACTGTAATAAAGTAAAAATCAGAATCATCAGGCAACTATAGATCAGAGACATTCTGTAGGGGAGGAGGGAGGAGGACCAGGGCAGGAGTGGGAGGAGCACAGGGACTATGGTGATGGTGCACAGGTGAATGGTGATGGGAATTTCACGGGGACATCCTACATTGTACAAAAATGAAGGATGATGTAATGAATATATATTTTTTATTTTTTTAAATAAAAATAATGTGTTTTTAGTGGCAGAGTAAAGCACTCCAAACCATTCTCAGAAATTTAGAACATTAATCATAATCACGTTAGATTACTTGTAGGGCTGTGAGCTTTTGTGAAGGAGGGTAAAGAGGCCTTAATGACTTGCCTGTTACTAATTTGTCAGGATGATTTCCAGATTTTATATTAAGAAAAGGCTTAGCAAATGTTGAGTTCTCATTTTAGTTTTAGTTTTTCCTGCTTAGAAATATTTGCCTAGAATCTCGCATATGTGAATATAGGGCTATATTTTTGGACCACTGACTTTGGAGATAGTCATCTGATTTAAAAATTAACCTTTCTTTTACAACTTTAAGAGCAGGAATTTCTTTTATAATCAACTTGCTGCTTTTTCTTGTCTATGCACTCGATAAACCTGTCAGTGATTAGACAGAACCTGCTTTTCCTAGGTTGACTGCCAACAGGCTCTCCCTGGGTTATTGACAGCTGTTATATAGCATATGTGAGACTTCAGTTTTGGAGTTCCTTGGCCTGGTTTGGAATTTTGATTCTCATTTACCTGCTGTGTGATTATGCACAATATCATAACTGCTCTGCTTAGTTCTGCAAATTAATTGGGAATAACAATATTATCTACCTCCTAGAGCTGC